TGGTACCAAAAGCCAAGTAGTAAAAACATCTTGGTTCATTACCTCTCCTCTCACCCCTCTAACACGAAAAGGGCGCTTATAAGAAACATGTTTCGAACAGCAACCAACGTGTGCACGGGAAGAGAGCAGAGAGAGTAGTCCCGGAACATGGCACGTCAAATAGCCATTTCTAATGGCTGCAAAACTGTAGCTCAGGATAAGTGTAGAGGAAATCGTAGGCCTCCAAACGACAACTCTAGCGATAGAAGGGTCCCGTTTATCCTACCCTTCATCTCAAATGATATAAGTACAGCTATAAAACACTGCTTGGGAAGGGCGGGTTTAGAGAATTCGGTAAACGTAGTTGAAAAACCACCGAGTAATCTTAAGCGCCAGCTAGTTCGTAACCGCCTATATGACTGTCTATGTGCAACTCAAAATTGCATAATTTGCCCCAGTGGTAGAAACGGTGATTGCATGAGCTCGGATATAGTTTATCTGATCTCCTGTAAGACGTGCGGTGACGAATAAATTGGCGAAACGGGCAGCCCCCTCTGTGTCCGCATAAAAGAACACCTAGCCGGCAAACATAGACCAAATACCCCGCTAGGCACGCATAGGACCCAGAGACATAACGGGGAGGACTTTGAAGTATGTGTCACAATCCTCGCATACGAATCAAGAACACAGGCGCGAAAAACTCTCGACGCATTCTGGATTAATTCCAGAAATCCGAAAATGAACCGCAGGGAAGAATGCCTCATTATCACTCGTGATATAGAGCAGTATATAAGACTGCTACTCTGATGGTAGGGGCACATTATGGTTCCATGTGATTTCTGTGCGGTTGGTCTCTACGTGACATACCTCATAGGAAGCCTCATAGAAAGCGGTGAGTGTGCAAAGCTGTGTTCAATGTGATTGAAATCTCGGTTTAGAGTTTCTTTGTTTGGTTATGGAGGCGTCTGGCCGAGTAGATTGCCATCAACTTGATCTATCCAGGCTCTGAGGAAGGCGAAATCCGCCGAAATGTCAGCTTATTCGTGAATAAAGAGTAATAACACCTCGCGTTTGCTCAACAAAAATAGGAATAATTACTTGATCAATGCCGGGCTTAATAGAAAGTCGGTCGTGGGAGTTACTCTCTTCAGAGTTTGGAAAGATCAAGTTAATTGCAAGCTAATCACCCAAACACCTACATAACCCCAGCAGAGAAATCACAAAGCCTGAACCTCAATTGCATTGAAAACAAAACAGCTTCTTTACACACTTACCGCTCTATTTGAGTCCGTCAACTAGGCATTCCACGTGTAGAACCTCTCATGTAAAATCTTTGTCTCAGATCTTGTGTAAGATCTCTCCTGAAGCATTCCTCCCTTCGGTTCATTTCTCTGTTCATGGAATTTGTACAGTATGCTATAAGAGCTTTACGAATTTATGTTTTAGATTCCTTTGCGAGAGTGGTCACTTCTTCAAAATCCTCCTGCGTTATATCTCTGGGTCCCATGCGCGCCTAATGGAGTATTTGATTTAACATTAAGCTTACCATCTAGATGTTCGTTTACACAAACACAGAGTCGTCTACCTCATTCTCCCAAATATTCGTCTCCGCACGCTTTACAAGAGTTCAGATACATCGTACCTCCAACTTTTGCACTCACCATTTGTACCGTTATGGGATACCATGAAATTTTGCATTGTGCATGGACTCATGCAAACGGTTACGAACTAGCTAGCGACTTTGAGGATTCGGTGGTACTTCAATTACTGCTATTGATTTCTCTAAACTGGCCCCTTTTTATGCGACGTTTTATATCTGTGTTTATTTCGTTGGAAATAAAGGATAGGTTAAATGGCATCGTATTATTCTAGACATATCGTTTTGTAGTGTTGTTCTTCCTCCAAACCTATACCGACGAACTGCCAATTCGTAGCCATTCGAAATGGCTAGTTGCCGTGCCACGGATTCCTTCTTTCGCTCTCTTTCTGTGTACACATTTGTGGCTGTTCGAAGCATATTTCTCACAAACGCCCTTCTCTTTATGAGGGGTGCGAGGAGAGGTAATGAACCAGTGCTTCTTTGCTGCTTAGGTTTCGATCCTTTTTAGTGATGTAGCGGTTTTCGGATAAGTTAATTTGAGCGTTCAAAAATGGAAGCCATTCTTCTTTCGGTTTCTGTCGGATAAATTTGATGTACTCTGACTGTTCGCTCAATGTTGTGGGTTATTAAGCAAATAGAGTGTATTAAATTTACCGAAGGAAACCGAAAAAAAACTGTCTACGATTTCTGAACGTTCAAATTAACTTATCCGAAAACGGTTACATCATCAAATGCTACTGTAAGCCAAATAACAAAAAGATACTGGTTCATTATCCCTCCTGTCACCATTTACATACAAAAAGGACGCTTGTAAGACACATGTTTGGAATAGCCACCAATGTATACACAGGAAGAGAGCAGAAGGAAGAATCGGTGAATTTGGCATGGCAAATGCCTATTTCCAGTGGCTACGAAATGGTAGCTCGACGAGGTTTGGAAGAAGAACCACGCCCACCAAACGACTTGTCTGACGAGAATAATGTCACCTTTATCATGCCCTTTATTTCCAAAGAAATAAATACAACTATAAAACACTGCTTAAAAAGGGCCGCTTTAGAGAAATCAGTAGCGGTTATTGAAATACCGCCGAACAATCTAAATCTCCAGCTAGTTTGTACCGTTTGTATGACCGTCCATGCACAACAAAGAATTGCCCAGTATGCTCTAACGATGGACGTGACACCTACATGAGTTCCGGTAAGGCGTACCTGATCTTTAGTAAAGCGTGCTGGGACAAATACAGCGCCCAAAAAAGGTGGACGACTCTGTGTCCATATAAGAGACCATCCAGACGGTAGACGTAGAGGCAAACGGAATACCACAACAGACGCGCGTGGAAGACAGAGACGTAACGTGGAAAATGTTGAAGTAGAAGTGACCATAGTTGCACAGGAATCCAAAACATCGGCGCATAAAACCTTCGAAATATTCCGGTCGATTTCTGTGAATCCAAAATAGAACCACAAAGGATTAATAACTCACACGAGATCCCATAGAATATCTCGCCTTGATATTTCACACGAGAGAGGCACATTACTCATCTATTTGAACAATGTACAGTTGGTCTTACCGTCGTATACTCAGTGGAGAGACTCGTTGAAAGCGGTGAATGGGTGGAGTGGCTGTTTTGTTTTTATTGCGATTAAAATCCAGATATCCTTATTTTTTTCGTCAGGGTTATGGAGATGTTTCACTGAATAGGTTGCAATTAGTTTGACCGTTCCACACTCTGAAGAAGGCGCAATCCGTCGAAATGTCAGCAGTTATGAATAAATACTGTGTAATGACAACACCATGTGTGATTATCATGAAAACAGAATTGGTCGATGCCAACGTTAACAGTAAGTCGGTCTTGGGAATTACACTTTGTATTCGTAATATATTATCCCTTCAACTTACAGTCGAACTCTGTCTACTCGAAGTGTGAGTGTTGTATCCTAACGAGAACAAATGTACTCATTATCGCAAAGAAAAAGCTTTGCAGAATTAATTGAAAGTATCTGCAATAGCTGACAAGATTCCTCTGTCATATCGATCAATCGCAACAATGAGTGAAAAACGATTTTCTCGTTCAGTTCGTATGTAGTACTGATCTGCAGTAATTCTTTCTCAGGAAGGTCAAACAGTATGCCAAGTCTAACAAATAAAGACGTGATTATTTTACAACATGTACCGCTAAATAAACTATGAGCATATTCCAACGATCGACTTTCTATTAACTTCGGCATTGGATTATAAATCTGTTGTTCTCTTTTCTACAGCAATCGCAAGGTTGTTATTCAGCACACGTTTACTTCCTCACAAATATAGAACAGACAACACAACGGTAGCTGACGTTTCGGCAGTATCGCCTTCTTCAGAGCCTGGAAGAGTACACTAATATATAGTGTCAATGTAAACTTCAGCTACTGTTATGTTGTACGTGCTATATTTGCGAGGAGCTGAATAACAACCTAGCGATTGCTGTAAAAAAGAGAACAACAGATTTATGACTATATTACTAAATTGTTCTGAAAATCCCTACTAATGACAAATTTCTTCAAATTTATGCAGTCCCCGTGACATAAGGAGCGTATCGATCAGCGTCGTCGTCAAATTGTGCGCATTTTGTGCAATTTGCATGCTTGACATGGCAATTCACAGGTTTACTCATAACTATTGCAATCAAGCACTATGCTATTTGTAACGGCATGGGATTGAGGTTAAAAAACTTTAACCTGGCCACCAAGTTAGAAATTTAATCCTTCACGGAACTAAGTATCCCACTTCATCAGGCTTACACTCGACGTTCGTTGCAGCAGTTACCCAAACGAAACGCTAAAAACAGTTGTCAATCTGAAGGGGTTCGGCAGCAATTCCTTTCTTGTTCCGATATTCCAGAGATGATCTTACTGACATTGACATCCTGTATCGTTTTCTTCAAGATCACATCAACATCGCAACGTTTATTGTGGACGAGTTTCTTCCTACGAACTTCCAAATTGCTTGGATTAGCAACACAGCCAGCCGATCCCTACTCCTGAAAAAATCATCGACGGCAAGGATTGGCTTGACAGGCACACGACCGCGTTGGGGGCGGAGTAAGTGCGCGGCTGTCTCGCGATCGATATGCTGTTGGCCGACGGCAGCTAGCAGCGGCTCGTGGGATGTTAGGGGATCGAGAGAGCCGTCGTGCTTGCCAATGCATCTACTCCATTCTCCTCTCCTCGATTCTCAATTTCACAAGTCATCTCTCTCTATACTTCTTCCTGTTCATCGCCTTCATCATCGACGTACTCCATCGTACGTCGGAGATGTGTGGTTTGTGTGTTTACGTCGAGTGTTTTATCGTGTTTCCAGAGGTTCATGCATGGTGCGGTGTGGACGTTGTCTGCACTGAGACCGTAGTCGTGTTTGCTTTGCCCTTATATAAAGTAGTTTGATGCTTCGACGAGTTTACATTGTTCTTACGGTTGGAGTTCTTGCTTCTATTGTTGTCGGTGCTGCTGTAGTGCTTCGGAAGCTCGTGCGTGTCAAAAACTACAAAAACGTGGGAAGAGCAAGTACAACCGTCGGAGCAATAGAAGCTGTGGCTCATGTGCCGATATGCGAGAAGTTCTCCTATAGGGACGAGCTAGAACAAACAAAAATCCATTAATTTGTGAAAAGGGAAGAAACGAAGAAAGCATACAAGTTTGTTACAAATCATCTCTACCATCTCTTCATGAGAGAAGAGAGTTTTTCTTAGGAACTGGATAAAAATGCGCCTTTCGTATGTCTGTATGAGATAACAAAAAACTTTCAGAATAAATAAGATGTGATATAAAGATCGTAGATTTCTAGTAGTTACATTTCCACTGATTTCTCGTGAATATGAGGAAACAGTAACATCTTTCATAGTATTAGAGACTGGACTTCATACCGAACTCTAAGGAATCCGTTATTTTGTCAAGGACGTAAGGTTCAAACCAAATTTAAAAGTATGTGATTTTTAAATCCGATTGCCTGCGCCTCAGTACGCTTCACGACGCTTACTATGCAGTTCTGCTTATACATACGGACTACATGAATTGCAAATTTTTAGGGTGTAATTTTTTTAGGAGGCTGCCGAACTTCATAAAGATATGTTTGGACGGAAGACATTTAAAGATACCATTTCCACCACATATGAATATGAATAGAAAAAGAGCATGGAGCGTTGGATGTTTATCATTTCCGAGCGAAGCGCCATACATTCGAGTTCATCAACTATCGTCTGAGGTTATTGAATGCGTATCTGGCCCACACGATAACTTACGGTAGCCCACCGATATCTCAGGTCAGTGCTGTTATTCTCCCAGACAAGTGCGATACCAGTTTTCCGACTCCAGAGGCATAGAAGGATTGGTGATTCCGCGGCGCGGGTTCGAACCAAGGAATATGTGTGTGTTCCAGGGCTCTAGCCACTGCCTCAAACGCATCAATATGAGTATACTTGAATAATGCACAGCAGTACCCACAAGTTTATGACGGAGGCGTTCTCATCGAAGCTTTCTCACCGATTTTAATACTTGAATAAGTTTCTATCTTTTCACAAGTTGGAAGAAGCCTTCAATCTTCTCATATTCTAATTCCTTCTTATCCGATAGTTCAACGTGTAGAAATACAACCATCAAAGATTTTACTCAATCGGTCAATAGTAGATGAGTCAGTGTTTGAGTTTAGTTCGTACAGTTGCGTGTCATTTAAGTCTGTACTGGTAGCCATCAGTCGCTAGGAGGTTTCATTTCTTTCATTGGTAAGGAAGGAAGCTAGACCTAGTCCTTCATCGAGAGATTCGTCACACTACCTTGCTATCTATTACCTGTTTTCTATGATATTACTTCCAATTTTGAGTGTTTTATATTATTTTGCTTGAAATCGAACTGAGGTGTTAATGAGAATGAGCCCGTGTACGATGAAAACATCACTTTGAAATGCTGATTTGGAAAAAGATGATTTACATTTGGGTTTCGGAAGTTTTCCTATTTATATTATTGGAATATTAAGGCAACTTGATTGCATGTTGATATGACATTCGTTTTTGAACACTAGAAAGGCGAAATCTACCAATATGCTAGCCACTGAAGAAATTTCATGGTAACTTCCAGCATGCATTGAGTACAATGCATTTGTGCGAATACAATGGCCGCTTCCAATTTTAAACTAAATAACTTGTCAGTGACACAAAAACAGTAACGAAACAAAATACGCTTGGGAAAACGCACAAGTGCATTGTACTCAGTGCATACCGGAAGTTACCATAGAATTCTGCTACCACGGTTTCTGTTGGACTCTCGGCATGCTTTTTTTAAAAATTTTTACACGGTTTGGCATCTGATTTTGTGCGAATCTTAGCATTTTCTCCACGCGATTCGTTTTCTCACATCCATTGTCGACGAATGTCCTCGAATTCTTCTGTGGCGGTTCGACTAATGCTTACGGATTTTCAAAAGTTTTATCAATGTTCTTGAATACTGGTCAAGGAGGGAGTCGACTGGGAGAGCCCTACTGGTGTGCTCCCCTGTGGATTGGAAATAACCAGCTGATCCCGGCAGGTGTGGTACAAATTCCCTGACACCAGAAAAAGGGAAGGTTTCACTGGCTTGGAGTGGAATCGATCTAAGCTCTTGCGCATAAAAAAGTAAAGGATAAAGCCCTCGGAGTTGATCAATCCCTTAGGAATGCGCCGTGCATTCTACTTCATTATGCACCGTTTGGAGGTGATTGAATGCATATCTGGCCTTTACAATGACTCGCGTTGGCCTACCGATGTATCGAGTCAGTAATGCTATCCTCCCAGAGAAGTCTCCTACCAATTTGCCGACCCCGGAGGGATGGGAGGCCTAGTGGACCATGGGCGCGTGGGTGGAGGGATCGATCCCATGTGTGTTGCAAGGCGCCTCCGACCACTGCGCCACACGCGCCCAAAGTGTTGCACAGATTGGACGGAATCTCCACTAATACGCTTTGCGATGTTAAAACGAATTAAGTAAGGTGAAATTACTTGACATTCCACATTTGATGTTGCTTAGATTACGTTGGTGAGGGTATTTGCCGCTGCATTCAGCACATTGATATCATCTCCCTCATGCATTTGTTTCCAGTTTTTTCACGTTGCTTTCCAGTGTTTCTCTTATATTTCTTCAAGATGGTTTTCAATATTTGTTTGCCTAGAAAAGAGTGAAACTTATGTTCAGGAATTTCCAATCTTAAGTGATGGTGGACTTCATATGCAATTTACATTTGTTCCCCATTCATTTTTACAAAAGAGATTTCGTTTTTTTTTGTTACACGTTGTGAACAGTCTGATGGCTAAACATACTACTGCTAGTAGAGCACAGTTCTCGTTGAACTAGTGTTTTGCTTTTTGGATACTTTCTTTCCTGTTGTGGTCTTCAAGTGGATATCCATATTGCGCTTTTCCCAGGCGTATCTTGGGCCTCTACACAGTCTGCTGTGGTTCATAACTTGCTTAGCACCAAACCTATTTGGTGTTTATGAACGTACTGTTATTTCCTGGATGTTCGGTAGTTAAAAGTTAATGGAGACGTTAAAATCTTCAACTTGGGTAAGTGTACGTGAGAAATGAAACAATCTCCTTGTAAGAACATCGCAACTCGTTACTCGAGAACACTTGCTACAAGGGCACCTGGTGGCAAACTATAGAAGCGAAGCGAGTTTTTAGTTATTTGATGTCTCCTTAATTATTCATTGTTTTAGACGTCCATTCTGTATTCTGTAAGGCATGAAGGTGGGGGAGTGTGTTTGACCTTAGATTGAGTTAAATGGTGCACAGCGTTCAGCTGTCATGTGTTCGTCTACTTTTTTGAAATCAGAGAATTTCTTATGTTGTATAGCTGTCAATTTCTGCTTCTTGATGTTTACTGTGTAATTTTAAGAACGTTCATCACCAAAGGTTTCAAACAACTCCAACATTTGTTTAATGAGTAAGTTAGCCGTGAAATGTTAGAAAACCAAACGAGAGAAATCATCGCTGGGATACTAGTGACAATACCGTGTGTCTGTTGAGTTTCCGGGTTTGTTTTGTAAACTACCACTGTCTACTATATTACTACTGAACAAAATTAGATACGCAAGCTGTGAATAGTACTGTTGGAACCATTACTATGAGATGTTGAATAGGTTTTTGGTACCATTTAGCTCATATAGGTGTGTATTGTCGAGAAATATCAAGAAACATTGTCGGTATTTTACTTATGAATTAAATCTGTAGATATAAATGTAGTTACAATGCTGATGGGATGCGCCTAGCGTAGTGATTAGACGTACTCCGTAATACACTTATAGTCATTGGTTCCATACTACGTCTAGTGTACAATTAGCCCTCTGTTCTTGCGGGTCGGCATATTGGTAACGAATTACTTTAGGAGGATAAAAATACTGACTTTGTGCACCAATAAGCAAGGGAAAACCATTATATATTTACGAAAAATAAGTTTTACAAATTTACTTTTACATCAACTTTAAATTGATTCAAATATATCAAATCGAGGCCAAATTTACATCAAATAAAACCCAACGATACTATGAATTGAGTCGATTGCATGGTACATATCTAAGGCATTGGTGAACGTGGAGCGCCTTATTCTTTATCCTCTTAATAATTCAAAAGACCGGATTTCTGTGAACCTCGGCATAAATAGTTGATATATGTATATCAGAGCGCGTGTGGCGCAGTGGTTGGAGGCGCCACTGCGACACACACGTGGAATCGATCTCCGCGCCCATGGCCCATCAAGCCTTCCATCCCTTCGGGGTTGGCAAATTGGTACCAGACTTCTCTGGGTGGATAGCAGCACTGGCTCGATACATCGGTAGGCTACCGCTAGTCATTGTAAAGGCCAGTTATGCATTCAATCACCTCCAAACGATGCTTAATGAAGTCGGATGCATAGCGCATCCCTCAGGAATTGATGAACGCCGAGAGTTTTACGGCTACGTTTCGGCGATTTCGCCTTCCTCAGAGGCGCGCTGTTACGAGTGGGACTCGTCAGCCATCGACCGACAGCGCTAACAACAACGACAACGAAAACTTGTACCAACCTCGCCTCAGCCTTATACTTATAGCAATAGTGACAGTGTGGCGGGATAACGCAGTGGTTAGTGATGTATTCGATCAGGATGGAAAGTTCGACCACCAACCCAACGTTCTCCTCCAATTCACGTGGGCAGTCCTTAGTCCAACTGTTCCAGGACTTAACCTTCTTATTTACTGCCTATTCTTTTTAACGGCAGGGTGTTTTGCGAAATATAACTACTATAATGCTGAGATATATGCAAAACTCCGGACCTCAGGTGTCTGCGGTGGGAACGAACGCGCTATTGTCTTTTCTGGGAAGTAACGCGTTCGCCACCACACCATTCGGGTCCTTCCCGTAAAGGACAATAGCGCGTTCGTTCGCCACCGCAGACAGCAGTGGTCCGGAGTTTTGCATATATCCCAGCATTATAGTAGTTATATTCCAGGACTCCTGAGAGATTCGACTCAACTGTCATTCAACGACATCCATAAAGACGAAATCCTCAAGCAGCAGCTGAAAAAACGCGAAATATTCGAAGAACATCGTGGATGTTGGATGCTCGAAAACGAATTGAGTGCAACAATTGCTGGAATCC